TGTTGCCAATTTCATTGATATAAAATGTCAGGAGGTGAGCTGATTTTGAATTTATTGGCAATGAGTAAAGAATACTGGTCTATAAATGCATTTTATTCTATTTCATATCCATTAGTAAACACTTTTTTACCTCTCCTATATGGGACAGATATTCAATATAATATAGTATCAACTCCATATTATTTTGACTTACTCCATGCCACTTTGGACTCTAAAAACTGGATGCAAAAAGCAGATTTCAGTTAAGGCTGCATAAATTATCTCATTCATAATCACTGGGGTTTAAAGTATTTTGAGAGATTACATTGTAATAATGAATAGAATTATACACAGATCATATTTCAAATAATATAATAGAAATGTATTATAATCATTTTTATATTATTTCACCTTTTTGTAGTGATTTAAAAGGCCTTAGGGTCACCCTTATGATTTTTAATTATTATGAATGTACCACCTAATGGAAAGTTGTATTTTTATTTATTTTATTTAAAAATATATATATCTTTATTGATTTCAGAGAGAGGAAGGGAGAAGGAGAGAGATAGAAACATCAGTGATGAGAAAGTTATCATTGATCAGCTGCCTCCTGCATGCCCCTGAATGGGGATTGAGCCTACAACCCTGACTGGGAATTAAACCGTGATCTCCTGGATCCTAGGTTGATGCTCAACTGCTGAGCCACACTTGGCCGGGTGAGAGTTGTATTTTTAAAAGCCTAGATAGCAGAGTGCACTATACATCCTTGTGATGTTTAGGGTCTCTTTTCACAATAATTAATGAATTCTTAGCACACAAAAATATTTATTGAGCACTTACTATATGCAGGTTCCTGTGTTGATCACTCTGTACTAATACATGGTCTAAGAACTACAGCCTGAGTCAGGAGCCAATTAACATTGTATGTCTGATAAAAGATCTACCAATAATATTTTAGTCATAAATAAGTATAAGTATACATACATTTATATATTAATAACAAGTCTATAATAAGGTATTTAAAAGATATCACTGGAAATGTTTATGCTAATTTTATGATACCATCTATATCTTAGCGACTGAAAAAACAAATTTCTGCTCATATTTGATCTGTATTTCAATGGACTAATATGTGATCCTGAAATCTGGTGATGTAAAGTTAATAGATAAGATTTGGCTTTAAGTGATAGTCTAGCCAAAAAAAACACAACAGTAACATTTTTGTTTTCTAAGCTTTCTTTTTCTATTATACCATTTTATTAAATATTTTGAGAATTTTCTGAGTTCTATCAAAGAATTACTAGCACCAATCCCCTACTTGCAAAAATTAATTAAAAAGCATCATAATAAATATAATGAAGATTACTTCTCAACACTGCTTTCTTAACTGGATGCAATAAACTCCGAGGGTCTTTTATGAACCAGGAACTGTTCCTGGCACTGAGTGCACAAAAATAAGAAGCTTAACAACCAATGGGGAAATAAACACTTAAATCAATAAATAATTTCAGTACAATTGGCAGAAGTATGCACAGAAAGGAAAAGGCCTCTAGCCTAGCTAAGGGAGGTGAGGAACTGGGTAGGATAACTACCAGAAGGCACCAGGGAAGGTCATCCAAAGAAGATCATGGTGATGATGCCCGAGCAGAATTTTGAAAGATGAGTTGGCACAACCAGGTAAAGAAAGGGGTGAAAATTTTAGCAGACATAGAAGTGTGAAATAGTATGTTTTATTGGGTTATAGGAAATTTTCTAAAATTATGTTCTGCCAGGACCCTATGGCTTTTCTGTGGCTTTTGTTCCTTTGAACTTTATCATTTCATCCTTCATCTGCTCATAATGGAGGGCTAGTACACTCCACCATTCAAAGGCTATAACTCTGTAAATCTCAACCATGAAAAATGGCTTCCACAAAAGCAACGTGGTAAGGAGATGACATCAAGGAGACAAAAGCCCGGCTGGGAGTAGCTCAGTGGTTGAGCATGAACCTATGATCCAGGATATCGCGGTTCGACTCCCAGTCAGGGCACATGCCTGGGTTGTGGGCTCGATCCCCAGTGGGGGACATGCAGGAGGCAGCTGATCAATGACTCTCTCATCACTGATGTTTCTATTTCTCTCTCTCCCTCTCCCTTCCTCTCTCTAAAATCAATAAAGATTTTTTTTTTTTAAAGGGAGACAAAAATTACACAATAACCTGGGACTATTTAGTGTAGGGCCATTCACCTCTGCATAGTTCAAAACCCCCATGAGAATATACTATAGTACAATACATTACTTCATGGACAGAATAGTGACCCAGGGTCACCAAGATAAAGTTATCTCTTATATACCTGTTTATAAAGCAGGGGGCTGTTTAATAAATACATTTAGAAAGATCTCTATTACTGTTTAAATAGAAAGGTTTTATACTAAATGAGAAACATGCCAATACCTGTGAAATTCATATTTGTGAAACACCTCATTTCTCAACCGTACCAGGTAGATGGGATATTACAACACAAATAACAAAATTTAGCAACATAAAGAGTCTTTGATAGAAAATATTTAGGATTGTCAGGACATATAACCAGCATATAATGCTGTATAATTGGAATTTAAACCATTATTTGTGCTCACCTTGCACTATTCTATATAAATAAAATATGTACTTTGAAAAACAAACAAAAGGATATATTTAGGAGCACAGATTGTGAGGAAAAAAATTATAGCTTCTGATTTATTTTGTGCATTGACTACTTTATATAACAAGATTTCTATTTCAAAAGCTTATTTTATCTGACATTTTCACACAAAGAAAGTCTCAATAAATGTCTGTTGAATAAAAAGATGAATTAAAAAAAGATTTTGTATGCTAAAGAAATGACGGACTATATAACTTCACATTTCACAATACACTGTAGCATATTAATTTGGCTAACAAATTGGGCACACAAAAAAAGATATTCCATAAAGTATTCCACTTTCTTACAATGTCAAGAAATGAGAGGTATACAATATAGATCAAACCTCTATGCTAGATTGAGACCAAAATATCAAAATAATATAAAAATACTTTATCACACACATGAGCCATATTAGTCAATTTTTGTGGCTATGAATGAACAAGATATTTTACTACATTAAATACTCTGTCCTCATGGACTTGATGTTAGAACAGCCTAATTTACATCATTAACCATTTTTAAATTTTTACTTTTTAAGTATTGAAGTTTTTGCATTAAGCTTACTATATGCCATCTATCTCCATGAACTTATGAATTTAGTTGTCTAACCTCACAATTGATCACTGATCTATAGTCTACATTGTATCTCTTTCCACATATAGTCTGTATGTTCTGAATTAAATTCTACATAAGTTTTCATTCCTTCCTTATTCAGATAGTCTTCATCCAGGCTTACCTAAATGTATTTATCGCATTAATTTCCTAAATTATGTTATTTAGTTAATAATTTCTTCACATTAAGTAAATGAACTTGGTAGTATCATTTATAGAGAATCACTCCAGTTTCCACGGATTTATACTATTCTGTATGTTATTCTTGAGAAGTGAAATGGTTAAGACTAGGAAAAAATAGTGTTGGAGTACTGATTTATAATTTCACAAAAACAAATTCAGCAATTCATTTATAATAAAGCATGAGAGTTCTTAAAATTCTTTTTTCATAGTGTACAGCAACTTAATTTTTTCCTGTCCTTGGCCAGTGAAACCTTTACATGTTAAAAATTACACTTCAAAAACCATTTAAAAATATTCAAAGTGCCAATTTTTAAGTTATTTTTAAAACCCTAATAATTAAAAAATTTAAAAGCATAAAGAATTTTTTGTAAGAGAAAACACTTGAAGCATTATTCAATAATGGCTATTTTAAAGTTTCTATGAACACACTAAATACTTATTTACTTATTGTTCATTGACTTATTATTTAGCATTCTACTTAGAGAATAAAAAAGTATATACGGACCAAGGCAGTTAAAAAAACTGTCAGCAAACCCATGTACAAACTGAAGATTTAGGACCATACTGTTCTACTCAATTATATTGTGAAACAAAAGCTTTATTATATTTATTTTCATGTCCTGAAGTATTTAATCTAACTTCAATAACTTCAGATACTCTAAACCTAAGGCTCCCAAAGATCAAGGTTCATTGGCAATAAGAGATCCTTTGATTTTTACGAAGAAAATATCCATGCTATTAATATTATTTATGAAATTAACATTTTAATTAGGTGCCACTATCTCATTTATTAATTGAATACATTTCTCATAAATTCTGATTTTCTAAATATTACCACCTCCCCCAACTTGAGATGCATCTGCCATTTTCAAGATTTTAGAAACACTTGTTGAAAGACTATTGAAAAGTTTACAATAGTAGAGTGAAACTTTAGTTATCCCAAGGAAGTACATACTAAAATTTCTTTTTGAGAAGCAAAGATAATTTTATGATTTTCAAAATTAATTCAAATTAAAATCAATGTGAGCCTGATTTTTGCTTTGGGTAAAGAAGGATCATTAGAAGATCAAGTTCCAAGGGACCAGCAAGTGCCAACCACTTTAAAATTTACCTTTCCCATGTGACATCATTTATTCTTAGAAAAAAAGTCACCTTTCTTTCTAAACAAGCCACTCAGATTAGCTTAATTCCAACAGACATTGAGGCCATAGATGAAAAAAACATCCAAAGGGATTATTTATTCCAACCCAGGTTTGCTGCCATTTCAGGGACGCCCCGTGTAAGTACTCTTCCTCTGCAGACTTATAGTTAACCTCTCATATTTAACACCCCCTAAAGAAATAAAATTGCGGAGAAGTTACCACTTTCCAAAGTTGGGAAGGGGTCGAGGGGAGGCAAGTGAGAGATGCAGGAGAACCCACACGTTTTTCCCTCTGAAATGCCTCATATTTTGACAAAAGAAAGAAGCAAAACCGAGATTCAGAAGGAAATCTCTCTGCTTGCGTGCCCTGGTCGAGCTTTACAACGACCCCTTACAAAACAAGCGGGCTGGAGGCTCACCTTCCATCTTTTCCTGGGGCTGGGCTGGAGCAGCAGCTCTTGCTACCCGGCCACTCCACGTGCTCCTGCCGTCGCCAGGATGCAGCGTGCAGCTGGCGGGAGATTCCTGGCGCGGGGAGTCCCCAGGATCCGCAGCTGCGTCGGCGCAGATCGAAAGGGGCAGGAGCCCGCGACCCGCCGGTGCGCAGGGTTACAGCGGCGCTGGCTGGCGGCGGCTTTAAAAGACGCTCACCAAAGAGCGCAGGAGGTTCCGCGCCTCCATCCCCTTTTTGAATGTCAAAACGGAGAACCCTCATAGGATGGAAATGGTGCATCAGTAAATTGTCTCAAATTGTCTATTTTAGAAGGATATGGCCAGGAGAGTACTAGCACATTGGGTGGGGGAGTCTGCATGGCTTTCTTGCAAGTTTGAGTTAAAAGAGGTTTGTCTTAAATTGAGCAAGATCTGGAACTTTTGGTCTAGATTCGGGGATAATAGCCATGAATAATGAGGAGAACTAACTTCATGTTAAGTATTACGTTTTCCTTCCTCAGTTTTTTATTTCCCATGATAAAAGTTCTTGGTCCAAATTTGCAGAAAGTTCTAACACAATTCAAAATGGATTTTGGCACTTTTATCAACTTTTTCATCTTGGGAGAGCAATTCTCTCACTTTGGTTTTCCTTTCTTGGAACTGCTTAGTCTATTTGCTATCATTCACAAAATACTACACACTCCATGCCTGTGAATATTCTATTACCCTACTTTCCTCCAAACAGGACCTGAGACAGCTTACTAAAATACATATATAATGTATCAGAAAAGTAATTTTAACAAGTAGAGTTAAGGGTGTGTGTGTGGGGGGGGGTGTGATAAGATAGTAAAATTAACTCCAAGATGTTAGTACACAAAAATGTACTGTAAGCATCTTTTCCCAACATCCTTCCCACTTTATAGAAGTAAAGCACTGTAGGGAAAGGAAAGGGGAAGTGACCACATAACAGTTTTTCACAAGCAGAGCTTTTCTCCACACTGATGTCTAAGGGACATGTTCAGGTTAGCCCTTATAAAGATACCCAGTGTGTTGAACTGGACATGTGAGTAATTCTCAAAAAGGTCACTTCCACCCTTGGTATAAATTTATATTGTTAGTGTTTATAAATAGATCTGAAACTTAAGGTTGGGAGTTTGCATCAGCAGACCTTATCAGAAGAAACCCACTCATACAAGTTAAAGTATGCTTGCAATTTTATGAATTTTAGTTTATTTTAAATATGCCTTGGAATAGGAGGTCAACATATATGTACATATATGTGTACATATATGTATATATGTGCACATATCTGTGTATGTGTGTGATTTTTTTGAATGAGTGAATACCTTAGATTGGCTTTGTTTTAAGATCATGGTACTCTGGCAGCATCTCTATAACTTGTACGGGTTGGAGTTTTACAGGATAATATCAATTTCAGAGAAATACTCTAAACACCAGGTCTAATTTTAGTATTGAAAGGGGAAATTTGTTGTTTGTTAGTTTCTAAAAGCAAAAATAGCACATCAAAAGTAGCAGAAGAGGAACTGTAAAATTTCACAGGGATGGTGTAAGGATGAATAGTTATTTGGTTATTAAAAAGTTATAGAAAAACTTTTATCTCCCACGACAATGTTCTTTATACTAACATTGGAATGTGTTACTACTCTTTAAATAATTCAGAATTCAGTACTTCAGATTCCAGAAAGTGATATCTAAGGCAATAGATAAAAAGTAAATGGGTAAAATAATTTATGTAGCTACTCCACACATGTTAAGTGTGGGCTTCACATAGTGACTTCCTTCTAAAAAGTACCATATGAAGGGAGGGTTAACTTTATAGTAGAGAAACCTGATAAACACTACCTCAGCCAGGTTATCAAGGTAACATTAACAGTGATAAGGTATGTTGACAGAATGTACACTTGATACGATGTGATGAGAATGGCATTTTACCTCTGTAGTCTTCCACACCAAAACCCCACAACCACAGTCTAACAATGAGAAAAACATCAGACACATTCCAAGAGAGACATTCTGCAAAGTGCCTGACCAGTTATGGTCAGCTCAGTGTCATCAAAACTGTTATTAACTGTCAAAAGTCATCAAAAACAAGAATGTCTGAGAAGCTGTTACAGCCAAGAGGAACCTAGGGACACATGATGACTAAATGTAATGTGGGATCCTGGAGCAGAAAAAGGACATTAGCTAAAAACTAAGGAAATCTGAATAAAGGATGGGCTTTTAAAAATAGTATCATATCAACATTGGTTCATTAATTGTGAGAAATGTACCATACTAATGTAAGATGTTGATAGTGGGGAAAACTCTGTGGGTGTACATGAGAACTCTGTACTATCTTAGCAATTTTTTTCTGTAAATTTAAAAGTGCTCTAAAATTAAAAGTTTATTTTAAAAGTTGACAGGTACTTTCAACAAACAACTACTATTAATTTGGTTAAGTCTCTTCTGATAGTATTCAAATTTTTCATACAGGATTTACAAGGATCAATTACTTATAACTGGAAGCTAATAAAGCACTGGATTTATAACGTACTTTGACTAAAACTGGAACGATAAACTTCTAGGGAATCAAAGATAATTTGTCTTCATTATCATCACCTTAAGAAGGAACAGTTGAGGCTAAACTGAATCTAGACACGGTAACTGACAGGGGTGGATCTGACTCACTGAATCACATTTCATGGCTTATGCTATGTAGGTAAAATTAACAGTGACTAAAAACGAAATCACTGACAAAGGTTGCTCCCGGACCATCTGAGATAGTCCAAGTACTGACTCGGCTGGAAGGAAATAAAACTGAAAAAAAAGAAGAAAAAAAAACCCTCTTGATCTCACCCAAAATAATCATTCTGCACCCTGTCTGAACCTTGGGCTCTCTACCCACCAGCCTACTCAAAACCACGACTGAGGGTGTCCCGCTGCTAAGAAACAGATAACACACAGAGGCTTTCAGGCCACCAAATTAATAGCCAGAAAGGAAGCATGAGAGACGCGGGCATGGTCTCTTTCGGAGCTCTCTGGTCTTGCCTTATCGATCCCCACAGGAAAAGCAGATTTGGGGATCTTGCCTTTCAACAGGGCCCATTTCTAAGAGCATGTTTACTACACAACCCTACACAAATTTGCATGCAAGGCCTCTCATGTCGTCTGATTAAGCTGACAATGAAGATGAACTGTTCCTCTAGAGTGGGAAGGCCTGGAGGCGCCATGATGGTGCACTAGTGGGGTTCTTCGGGTTCCTCGTTTTGTGCGTAGAAAAATGCAGTTGGGTGAAAATTGGATGTAAGGGTTTGAAAAGGGTTGTGACACAGTTTCGGACTCTGTTCACAAGAAAAAAAGGCATAAGAAATGCTCCCTGCGAGGAAGAAGTTCTCACAAGGTTCTCCCATCGCCGGACCCTAACATCATCGAATCCTCAACCCGCCCTATCCCACCACCGTACTTGGGACCCGCAGCGTTCTTCTCATTTTACTGTTCAGCCCCTGGACTAAGGAAGTGACCGAAACGCCAAGCCTCGGGTTCTTCTCCTTTCCTCTTTTCTTCCCTCAAGGGCTGTTCAGAGAACTAAGACGCCCGCTGATCCCGCGGGAAAATGGCGCCAGACGGGAGGCACGAGGCAACCACATGACTGCGGCTGCGTGCGCACGAGAGGGGCGGGGCGCTGGCCTCCC